TTTTCCGAGGAGAGGCATTCAGCATGGCATCAGATGTCTATGCATTGGGGATGGTTATGTGGGAGTGGTGTGCCGGTAAACCGCCATTCGGTAAACGTCCTTTTGATATTTATTTAGCTGTTGAAATATGCAATGGCTTGCGACCAGAATTACCGGAAAAATTACCTGACTTTTACCGCGACTTGATTGTACGTTGTTGGCATCAAAATCCCTCACAAAGACCAACTTCTAGAGAGATTTGCGACATCGTTAAAAAATGGTATCGATACGAAATTACAGAAACGGAAAAACAGCAAATAAGAGCCGCTGAGGAGTTTAGAAGGGCAAACGCATCCAACTATGATTCTGAAGAAAGTTACACGACGCATCCCTTGGCAGTTTACACGAGCAAAGTTTTGCCGAAAGTGGATCAAGAAGGTTGGTATTTTTTATAATGTTTGCTATAATCTATTCCTATCAAGCTATACAAATTAATTACAATTCCATTTGATACAGGTAAGTTTTGTTTCTAAATATTAATCTTTTAATTTATTAAATTATTTTATCGAATGTTTGGTTTTACAAGTGTTAACTTGTATGTTCCAAATCAAGGTGAAACACTCTATACACCATGTTGTTTTTATTAAAATATTGGTTTATATAAATACTTGTTTGTAGAATATGTAAGCACAGAATTTGATATAGATATCGATGTCAAATCAACAAACTTCAGTTTATATATACCAAATGAAGGTAAGATTATTAAAATACTACAATGTTGATATACTTCCACTAAGAACAAGATTTCAAAGATTATAAGATGGATAAATGTCCTAATGAAAATTTGTCGAAAGAACCAAATAAACGGGCAAATTTCTCATCATTGGATCAAGATTATGGTAATTTTATTTTGTTTATTAGCAATTGATGAAAAAAATTTTCAAGGCAACATTTTAAGTTGCTTTGTTAAGCAAGTTAGAATTTTTGTTTTTATCAGTCCATATGTTAGTTCTTAACAGTTCTTAATTAAATGTTATAATTTTTTATTAATTTTTTCTTTTAATTTGCAAACAAAGTGATTGAAGATAGACGAAAAATACTTTATGGCATTTGTAGAACTTGCAGTCAACCAAATATCGATGTTGGATTTTGTCATGATTGTCGACTTCTCGACGATCTAACGTTGTTTGTAACAGACGAATGAAGGTAGATATAAATCACTATTTGAACATATCGATATTGAAATGCAAATCGTGTAATATTAATATATTATATAATCAAAACGTTATAAATCCTCCGCGCTATAGTAAATTTTAACTAATAGCCCTTCGATACATAAGAGGTTTTAGGGTAATTCGTGAATATAGTACTTGTAAAGTGCAAAGTTCAACACCACCCAATAACTAGTTTTCATTATCAATGTGGCTCGTTCATCAATTTTTTAAATAGAATTACTTACCAAAGACTATAAACAAATAAATTGGGCCTAGTGATTTTCTATCATTTGAATATCACGATAACACTTGCAGAAAAATTGAATATAACGATAATGATAAGAGTTGTGGAAAAATATTGCATTTTCATGCGTCAAAATCCTGTGCTAAAAAATTATTCGAGATGAAATTTATCTGATTTTTAACAAACTTTTCTTTCAAAAAAATCGAATTACATGTATGCAACGGTAATGATTCAAAATTCTATGTGGTAAACCTTTATTGCAATGTAGTTTTTTATTGTTTGTGGGCGTGTGCATGCATTAAAAATAAAGTTTATTTAAATGCATGACATGGATTTTTAAAGAGTGTTTAAATGAATTTTTTTTTGAAAATGATGATGATTTACCTTCATTTGGAACATACAAACTAACACTTGTAGAACCTAAATGTTTGATGTATTTAAGAAATGTCATTTTGATTTAATATTAAAATAAATGTATGTACCTCTATCGATTGGAATTTACATTAAGTATTCGACTGGTATAAACTGCATTTAAGTGAATTTGCTTTTTGTTCACATCCATAGCATTCACATCCATAGCAATATTTTTTTATGATTAATTTTATCAAATTGCCGTCTCTTAAATTTTTGCTTTAGGATAGCCTAAAGAGCTGTTGTACTGAAAATGTAAAAAATTCGGTCATAATTAATATATCTGTAGAAAGTCTCTCAGCAGTTGGTCTATCGTCTGGAATAGGATCCCAACATTTTTCGATAATAAATTTGTAACATCCGGAAACTTTATTTGATATCGTAAGTCGTTCATTAGTTCACCAGTTACAATTTCCATTCCAAAACTACATGTACAAATATCTGCAACGCTAGTGCATTCCATTTAGCACCCCTAGATGCATATAAGGAAGTACGCCACAAATTTTTGTAGGCATGCTAAGTCCAAAATCAGCAAATAAGAGGATAATTCAATATTAATATATTTCCAGGAATTAATATATTTACGGGAGATCCCATCTTTTGCATAATCCATCACTATCGAATATTCATTTGTAACTGAATTTTTTGTTATTCCGTAATATTTAATATAAGCAGCATCCCAACTGCATTTAAGAACGGTCTGAATCTTTTTTGAAAAATTTGATTGTATCAGAAAACAAAAATAATTGGCTTTCACTTTAGAAAATGTTTATTTTTTACCTCATGTATAAACTCTGGAGTAATTTGCTTTGAATTGTGTAATGATTTCAACGCAACTTTGATTTTTCCATATAGTATAAATTTATTTTCTTTACGATCCCATTAGAATATATTTTTATATTTATAATTAAATTTTGTTGCATTCTTTTATTAGATCTTTATCTCCGCTAGACAATTCATCGTTATAAATTCGTTTCTGAGATTTGAAACAGTCATCGCAGGAATAATTTCCTTGACATGGTGTAAATCATGAGCACCGTGAACTAAATACTCATCGCGGTATCTATTCTTTTGGCATTTAGTACATTTACAAACATGAGATTCCATCACTATCGAATATTCTGGGTTTTTAGTCATTCCATGTAGCCGCAGTCATAGCATTTAAGGACGGTCTGTATCTGAAAAAAATTTGATTGTATCAGAAACAAAGCAACTGACTTTCACTTTTTTTACCTCGTCTACAAATTCTCGAGTAATTTGCCTTGAATTGTGTAATGCTTTGATCACAACTTTTCATTTATTCTCTCGTTTCCCATTTATGATCCCAGATGGAATGGTAATCTCTATAATCCAATGGTCCATCCAACCAGATTGCTTTATAAATTGACTCAAAATCTCCTTTGCAAGATATTCAACGTTGGTAAATTTTTCAAAAGGGATCCATTCGAATATATTTGCATATTTATAAATAATTTTGTTGTATAGTTTTATTAGATAGTCGATAATCCGCTAGACAATTCATCGTTAATATTGTGAGCTAAACACTCATCGCAGTATCTATTCTTTTGACAAAACCAATATTCATTACAATGAAAACGTATTTGATTCCAGCTTTGAGTTCAGTGGATAAATGCGTGAATTATGATAAAAATGAATTGTTGTCATTATATACATGTACGCGTAGTTTGCGTTTGTGATCAGGAAGCAAAAAATCAGTTTATATATGTACATGTATAAAAACATCTTCTACATGTACCTACAAATGAAAAATTTTAAGTTAGAAGCGATTTCGCATGGTCGAAATTAATATATGAAATGACAACAATGTAGTAATAAACTTTTCAATGAACTATATAAAATAAAAATATACATAAAAGAGATATATAAATAAATTAATAAAATTTGATGACTAAGCTACGCGCGTAAACACAAAGAAATGGAAATCACTTTTAATTATTGTTGCGTAAAATCAGTTCGTTTAATAAATAATCATTCGGCATATCTTTGATTCCGTGTGGCATATTAATATCGAAATTCTATTTTTATCACCAAAAAAAATAAACAAACTAACGAATTAAAGAAATTTGATGAAAATATCATCAAATGTAATTTTATCTTTCATTTGAAACATATAAACTACTTGATACAGATATTGTGTGTCAAACGTCTAGATGTATAATGGCGTATGACCCACGATACCAAAAATGTTCCTGGTTGGTGCAAAAATATTATGACAACCCTAACTATAACTGTGAAAAAACTTTTAATGTTAATACATGTAATTGCCGGCACATATGACTTGATATTCGCGTTCTGATTTGAGAACAATGAATATCTTTCATAAGTTTATAAAGCAATCTGAAGTATAACGACTGAACTGAATAATTCCAATTTATTTCATGAGATTAAATTTAATTTGATGTGCGTGTATAAGAGCATTTATCTACAAATGAAAATTTAAAGTTAGAAGAATGATTTCGCATGGTCGAAAGTAATATATGAAATGACAACAATGATGGTAATAACTTTCAATGATTCATTCATATGAAACTAGATAAACTAAAAATATACATAAAAGACGTAAATAAATAAATTAGTTTATTGTGCAATCTAAATTACATGCAAAAAATAAAATATATGTATTTAATTTTATATCCAAACTTCTATATAAACAGCTTTATTGACACAGCGCTGACTCTTTGTGAGCATCATATAGGGTTTTATGTCACATGAGACATGAGAATTGAAACCGTATGATTACCCTGAGTCTTATCGTACCGTTAGCATCGATCAAGCTCGATAAAAGCTTCAAGCTTATTTTTCAATCGTACGACAATACCGCTAAAATGATTTTTATCATCAATTTCATTTGCAATTTCCTTAAAATGCATCATCTCAAGTTCCAATCTAATTTCACAACAAGCAAAGTTTAAAATTGGACAAGCCATTTGTCAAAGTGAGAAACAACTTATGCAGGATTTCGTCATCTTTAAAATGGTGATCACAATAATGTTGCTGATAGATTGACATTCTCCGCGGATTGTTGGATATATATAATTCAAGAATTTTTTTTATAATTTTGTAAAGATAAAAATAAAACGGAGGTATCAAAACTTTTTGAAAGTTCTCGTGATAATAAACAATAACCTAAAATGGGAACTCATTGTAACGGTAAGTTTTCCCACACTTTTTATTGCTACTTTGATTTGATTGTTTGGTGCTTTTTACGTCGATAAAGAATCGATTTTTGCTGTGTAAGAAATCTCCCGCGGTTTTGCGTTTGCCCCATTTGATTTAACGTATCGTTATAGAGGTTTAGAACCTATCGTTGTTGATTTGCCTATTAGCGTTAGTATTGTCTAATATGGATTTCCCTATTATAGATGAATAAAAATACATGCACATGTCGTCTTTTGTATGACATCATGTGCATTTTTGAAACATGCAATTTAGAAGTAAATATATGTTCTGAGAACACTTCAATTTTAAAAAGTTTACTTAGCGAAAACACAAAAAACCCAAAAATACAAAAATCACCAGTGTACATGCACACACATTAATGGTTCATGTGTTACGAACACAAAGAAACTTCAATCTTCTATTGGTGTTTGAGTCATGGCAATAATCGGAAATTAAATTTCAAACGAATCATTGGTGCGGGCACAGGGTGTAAAATACATGTACACTAAATAAGAAAACATGTATTTCTCTCAAAAAAAAGAATGTTCTTTGTTGTGAATGCTACCATTAGAACGAATCACGACATTTTTAGACTCAGCATTTTTTCAATCTTGCGTTTTATAAAATGAAAATTGAGGATTGTTTTGTTCACAATTTCTTTTTCGTTTGGAACCATTTCTTTTTCATTGACCATTTGTATCTACCTACGAATGCTTCAATAAAAAGTGAAATTAGCAAAACCTAATCGGATTGGTAAATAAAAAACATACACAAAAAAAAAGATGGGAAACAGCGTAAAAAAGCCAATGACTAATCCAAAAGAGTCATCAAAAATGTATCATTCAAAAAACTACAATCAAGTCAAACATCGAAATATACAACAACAACAACAACAACAACAACAACACCAACACCAACACCAACACCAACAACGACAATACCACCACTACCAACAACAACAACAACAACAACAACAACAGCAGCAGCAGCTACGACTCTTACTACAAAAACAACAAAATTGCTATGAGAAATGTTCCGCACTCACACAACTTCTCTCGCTCTTCACCTCACTAAAAAACAGCTGGAAAAATGATAAAGTGATCGAAACAGAACTTTATAATTGGATGACAACGAACAGATTTGAGCCGGAGATGATATTTAGAATAGTGTACAATGAACGGAATCATGTCAAATTTGCATCTCTTTTAGCATTTTTTTATATGCGGGGGATTGGAACGAATGTTAATGCTGAAGAAGCATTTCATTTCAGTTATTTTGCCGCGTCGAAGGGTGATTTAATAGGTAAATCTATTTTGTGCGTTAATAAAATTCTAGCGAACGATTGTTAAATATCTTTAATAATTAAAAGGTCAAAATGACGTTGCATGCTGTTACCAATTCGGAACTGGAACAATAAAGAATGAAAGGAAAGCTTTCTATTGGTTTAGAAAATGCGCTAAAGAGGGCAATGTGGCGGGAATATTCAACCTTGGAAGCTGCTATTATCATGGAATTGGGACAACAGAACGTCATGATAAGGCTTTTGATTGTTTCTTAAAAGCAGCAGAAGCGGGTTTTGGAGCGGCACAAGGTTGCGTTGGATTTTGTTATCGGTAAGTTTGCGTTCTTCTTATCTTAATCAATTAAAAAATGAAAATAAGCTAACAGTGTATTTAATTGGTGTGATAACAATAAAATACAGACATGGCAAAGGAACAAAGCCAGATTTAAAAACAGCACTCTATTGGTACGAACAAGCATCTAATTCGGGAAATGCACAAGCTCAATTGAAGCTTGCGTACTGCTACCAACAAGGAATCGGGTTGAAAAAAAGACGAAGAATATGCCGTAAAACTATATACAAAGTCGGCGAAAAGTGGGAATAGTGACGCGCAAAATGAATTAGGAAATTGTTACATGTAAGTTTTCTTATCATAGCATAAAAGATATAATGAACTTAATGAACTTATATTTATTATATATGCTTGCCAAAAGATACGGACTCGGCATAAAAAAAAATGATGTGACCGGATTCTACTGGCATTTGCAATCCGCTAAATGCGGAAACGCACGCGGTCAAAACAATGTTGCACGTTCATATAAAAGCGGACAAGGAACCGTGCGTGATGTCCACGAGGCGATACGATATTATCGACAAGCGATTTCGCAAGGTGGGAATTCTCACGTGTATAGTGAACTGAAGTCGTTGTTATTGAATGAGTGGTGGTGAAAGAACGTGCGGAACCAATGTTTGAGGTTTAATAGATAATAAATTAATTAATGTTATGGTTATTTTTTAATCGAACTTTTTTGTATTTCTATCATTTTATTTATTTAAACTTGTAAATAATTTTTTTTAAATCTATTTGTAAATTCGGGATTTAGATTTTGCATTTAATTAGAAGTATAGCATAATAGCATCTCTTTCCAGCATAAATTAACTACTAAATTATTCGTTATCGTTAGCATTTCTCCCCAGCATAAATTAATTACTAATTATTCGTTATCGCTACGTATTATTTATTTTTATTATCTTTATTAGATAACAATAAGTTAAAACGTTGAACATAAATACAAAATTTTTTGACTGAAAGAAATAAACTCTTTCATCGTTATCTGCAAACTAAAACTATTTTTTTAATCATTATCCACAAACTAAAACTATAAAAAAAAATTTAAGTCAAATCAGATAAATCGTTCTTCATCACAAAAAATCATAATCTCGCCACACCAAGAACATACCCTCTTATTCTGAAATAATCGCTTCAAATGCCACATTGAAACATAACTGTAATTTTGATCCGACCGCACATACAGCCAAATGGCACGGTGGACGTCCTGTGGTACACCACGTCCATTCCGGTAGATTCGCGCGAGGCTTTTACGTGCACTCGCGTTTCCGGAATCAGCAGCTTTTTGGTACCAGAACAATGCTTTCCTCATATCTCTTCGCACACCTTTTCCTTTTTTTAAGATGTCATTTATTTTATTTACCATTGAAAATTTCCCAAATTCAAAAACGGAGTTATCAAGTTGTTATTAAAATTACTACGACTTACCTACTTGATAACAATAACCCAAGTGATCTTGCGCATCATGAAATCCAGCATGTGCACTTTTCTCGAACCAATATAGTGCCATGTTTAAGTCGGCTTCTGTGCCTCGACCATTAAAATATGACCATGCTAGTTTGTATTGCGCTACCTACACCATTTAAATCAGCAAATACATGTAATTTATCAATTTCGTAGATTCACGAAAGTATAAACCAAAATTCGAGATATTTTGTGTAGATATACGAACCGGAAATCCACCAGTAGCTGACTTCAAGTACCAATGAAAAGCCATGAAATGATCTTGTACTGTCCCAGCGCCCATCTGATGACACATAGCAATTTCATTTTGTCCTAATAAGTCTCCAGCTTCTGCTGCCTTCTTATACCAACCTAAGAATACATTACAATTAACCTCGAAAAGAAAAGAAAAAAGAAACTTTAAAAAAAAACAAAAGCCATTACCAAAAGCAGCTGTCGGATTCGGCGACGTTCCCACCCCATATAGATATAAAAATGCCAATAAACAAAAATAATCCAAATTATGTCGAAGATTATACACCGTCCGAAACACGATCTCCGGTTGATAATTATGTTTATCAAGCCACATTTTGACATCAACCAAGATCACTTCGTCATATTCCCATCGATTGTTCCCCTCTTTGAATATTGCTAAGAGGTCTTGCGCGACGGATATGGGGTATTTCGGGAACTTTGTGTTGTTAGTGCTGTCGATAAGTGTCCATTGTTCGTTGATGGGCACTTTGTTATTGTCGTTGCTGTCATTATCATCAATCGAAAGTGATGTTTCTAAAATGCCGCTGTCGAGGTAGTCAGTAGAATAGTTGGTATATTTTATTAATTGTATTATATTTTTTAGTTTGGTGTTTGCAATATCGAAGATTTTGTATAATGATTCCATTTCTTCCTGACAGCTACTTTCAGTATTTGGACAAATAACAATAGAATAATAGATATTTCAAATTCAATGAAACATACAAGTAAAAAAAAACCAATGTACCACAAACAAATATACCACAAAACTAAATACAGTATACACCGACCGGCAAGAAACGCGGATTTACAGGGTGCATGACATAGAACGATAGGCTTTTACACATATTTAATGTCTAAATTTAGCTATGTGATTTTCATGTTACTTTTACCTTACCGTTCCAATGACAAACATTCATCATCGATTTTTGTATATCCGTGTGCATTACTTGGTCACATTTGTTGTTTCCATAGAGAAAAACTAATATTGTTATTTGAACAAAGACACTATTATATATTTTTGGATAAAAAAAATAAAGATGAATCTTCCATCATCATCAACTTCCGCATCTAGCAGCAACAACAGCACCAACAACAATACTATAATAAATCAAAACTATTGCCATCCTGACTCATCTTCAAAATCAACTACAACAATAACGAGACAATTTTACTCTACAGAAAATGACTATCTTCAAGAAACAGAAAATGTAAATTACGAGGACTCAGATGACGAATCAAATCTAATAATCGATGAGCTATTCAAAATATTTACCATTAGCAACGATCTTTTCTATGAAGACGACAGAATAACAGAAGACATACTAGCCTGGCTAGAACAAAATAACAAAACTGCCTCCGTCATATTTCCAAAAATTTTCGCACGACAAAACCTTCCACGATACGCAATCTTCATCGCATTTCTATACAGATACGGTATCGGTATCGACAAGGACGTATATGAGGCGTTCAAATGGTACAAAAGATCTGCGGACAGTGGTGACGTACTCGGACTCAACGAGCTAGGATATTGTTACCGAAATGGTTGCGGGACAATGAAAGACGATAATAAAGCTTTTGAATGTTACCTGAGGTCCGGGGAAGGCGGGAACGCATTTGGACAACGGAACACTGGATTTTGTTATTATCATCAGGTTGGGACAGATGCTAATTACGAGTTAGCTGTTAAATGGTTTCGTAAAGCAGCCGAGGCAGGGCATCATGGTGGACAGTTTGATCTGGGATTTTGTTATACGTATGGTATCGGCTCATCAAGAGTTGAGACGAGAAAAGGATTTTATTGGTGGGAGAAGGCGGCGGTTGCAGATTGTCCGAGTGCTCAGGCTAGTCTTGGCCAATGTTTTCAATGTGGAATTGGGACTGTGAAGGATTTGCATGAGGCTATTCGTTGGTATCGACGAGCTTACAAAAATAGAAATTCGAGAGCACATGATATCTTGCGATCGTTGTTTTCTCAATATCTTTATGATTGAAAATTTTACTATCACCGCTTCGAAGGTAAAATTACATTAGTCTGACGATTGCGAATATTATTAATTTTAAAAAAACCAAATACGTTTCGTGTTTCTTTGTTAACATCCTCGTTTAGCTCTAGTTCAAAAAATTATTATTTTCGTTTTTCTATCATTGTGTTTAATGAGATTTTTCATTCAAAAATAAAATCAAGTTTCTACATGTACATGTAATAACAAATACCGATGCTGTATATAAATAACAATAACGAGAACGTGCAATTGGTCATTCGGTTATTTTGTTAAATTCAACAGGACCGTATCGGTATGTACTGATGTACATGTACCAGCAATGAATTTAATAGTGTAGCACAACAGATTGAGAATAACGATAAACATTGAAGCCAAGAGAGTTCCAATTTTCTATTATATACATGTACATGTAAAAACAAAAAATATTTTTTGTTGAATTATATCAAAAATATTTCAACCAATTAATATACACTTTTTTTCTCTTTTTGTCATAAAACGATAAATGAAAACTAAAACTATGGAAAATTTCATTTCTAATAACAATAGCAATAATATCGATATAAGAACAGAAGACGAAAACGAAACAATAACAACATCCTCGTCATCATCATTGTCATCATCATTTTTTTCCAATAAAATAACACTAATAGTCCAGGAAAATGATAAATGTCACAATAAAGACAAAAAGGAGATTGAAGAGAATGAAGACGACAAAATCGGAGTCAACAAATTATCTTTAGCCAATGAAGTCTTGAACATTGTAAACGAAGACAACGACAATTTACTAGACGACGAGACAATTGTTGTGCATGTCAATAACTGGTTATCGCAAAATAAATATGACCCTAAAGAGATTTTTCGAATTATAAGAAGTCAGCGCTCACGGATTGAATATTCGATCCTGCTGGGGTTCATGTATCGTTGGGGTCTGTATTTTTTTTCAGTTGTTTGACGATTTTACCAATTCAAATAAATAGTTTAATGTATTAATTTTTTAGGCATTGGGATAGAAATTGATGAAATACGTGCATTTGCATATTATAATAAGGTAATAATAAATTTTATTTGCAGTCGTCAGAAGTATTGTGTAATAAAAAAACGATCAATTGAAATGGAAATATAAATTAAAAAAGGCGGCAGAAGCTGGCATCCCTCTAGGCCTCTCAGAAGTCGGCTACTGCTTTCTAAATGGAAAAGGTGTCTACCGTGACGAAGAAAAAGCCTTCAGCTATTTCTTACGCGCAGCAGGACTTGGTAACGGTTTCGCACAATGCAGCATTGCATTCTGCTACGACCAAGGAATCGGTGTCGAACGTGACTACTACAAAGCATTAGAGTGGTACATAAAATCCGCAACAGCTGGCAATGCTATTGCACAACACGATCTCGCTGATTGTTATTATCGCGGTTTAGGAACTCCAGTTAATCAGGTTTTGGCGTTGCATTGGTATGGGCGATCCGCGGAAAAAGGGCTCGCAAGGGGAATATACAAAGTTGGAAGTCATTATCAGGAAGGGTTGGGTACCGTGCAGGATTTACATGAAGCTATTAAGTGGTATCGGAGGTCGCATCAAGCGGGGGAGACTTATGCTATATATAGTTTGAGGCTGTTGTTTGCTCATATGAAGAATAATGATGAATTATAGATTTTCTTCACCTTAACCTGATAAATTCTTTGTAACTGTTATGGATTAGAGAGAAAAACAATTGAATAACAGAGAGCATTTGAGTAAGCATAAAAAGCATAAAATGTTTTTAATAAAATTTCGGGGTGAAAACTTTTTGTTGCATCTTTGGATATCCATTTGAATAGTTATATGAAGTTTGTTTTCTTTTTTAACGTTAAGTATTTGTTATGATTATGGTTGCGCAACGAAAATCAAACATTCTAAAAAATCGATCCCACAATCCAAAACGACAATATCAACAATATAAATTATTGGTTGAAACCGACAAAACTGTTCTTCATCTCACAAATTATAAAGAACACCGTGAATTCTTGTCCATTTTCTTAGTACATGTATTATTGGTAAATAAATGGACAGGCCAGATTGTGTTCGAGAATAACAGAAATTGGCTTATGTAAAACCTCACTCTGAATAACAACAACGCTTTGAAAGAGTGATGACCTGAGAGCCATTACATTTAATAATATTTTTGGTTGATGTTGATCATAGAATTTTCAAAACCACATAAGTAACATGTGTAACAACATAGATAAATATATGCGTCGCGTTTTCCCATTTTTTGTTATTGTTGACCCTAATTTTTTTTAAACATACACTAGGCGAAATTTTTTTAGGTGTAAATATGATACCTGTCATACCAGTAGGCCATCTTTAACAAAGATAAAAATAGTGATTTTTATTGAAGTTATGAGTGCCAAGCAAGTTGCAAAAAAAATTTGACATAACCTGGTAAGAGTCAAAAGAAACAGGAAAAACAAAAATTTATCATTATTTGAGAGACCATAAGTATGCAAGAAACTAAAAAAGACATCCTGAGCCATTTGAATTTATTTCATTTTTTTCTAATGTATAATGCCCGTCAAAAGTATCCTCTCCCCTGTAATTTTCAAACAATCACATGCATGACACTATAATTTTGCATGCATGTAGTATAGTTCAAATATAGATCACACCTGCATTTTAGAGGGTTATTACATTAATAAAAAAACAAAAGCTTCATTATACTCAAAAAAAGACTAAAAAAATGCCTTTAAATTTAAGTTAACAATATGAAATTGTCTTTTTATGTATTCATCCAAAAGATTCCAAGCTATTAATACATGAAAAAGCTAAAACAGTTTGCTATAATGAAAAAACAGTCTGTTATTAGATTCAAAGATGAGGAGAAAATCAAGACTTGAGTGACAAAGCAAAGATAGACTGATAAAAAGTAATTACTTAATAATAAGACAAGCAATTAATGGAGCTTGCAAAAAAAAATTTTGATATAACAGTCCCAGAAATTCAAAAGAAGATGATTAAGCAGAATGTTGATATTAGTATATGTATTATACAATATTATTTTCAAAGAGAAAGATAAATATATAAGCAAGCTTTTAAAAGTTTTTCTTATAGAGAAATATTGACAAAAATGACTAGAATAGACAAAAAAATATAAGAACTTTGACTAAAACAAGATGATTTTTTCAGATGAAAGCACTTTTTATTTAAATTAAGATATAAAATAGACTTGGCAATTTTCTGAAAGAAGAAAGATAAGTCATTCTGTAAAGTATCCTCTAAAGATTCATATATAGAAATATTTTTTATCCATGAGCTTTAATAAGTTGATTTGCTTTGTGAGAAATCTCAATATCAATTTTCTGCTAAACATATATAAAACAGATCTTCTGTCATCTGCTGATGAATTTTTTGATCAGAAAATAATTAGTAAATCCTTCAAGAAGATAATAATCTCAAGTATTATTCAAAAATTATAAAAATATAAAAGAAGAAAATAGATATAAAGATTCTCTTATAGTCATCAATATTTTCTAATCAAAATCTAATTAAAAATATCTGAAGATTCATAAAAAATAATCTGACAAAAAAAAATTAGAACTGTTAAGAGTTTGAAGAGAAAATATAAAAAGAATGATATTATTTACCTAAAGAATATATGATCCAATTAGTCTCAAGTATAAAAAAGCATGTAAAAGCTTTAGTTAAGATCAAGAATGATTATATTATATACTAATCTTATTATATGAAATTAGAGCTTTTAAATAAAAAAAGATTTTTTATTTATCTTATCTTCTTATTAATTTAGAATGAGAAGGAATATTTTTGATGAGTACTATAAATCAAGTTTTATTTTTTTGAATATTATATTTTCTCAAATTAAGAAAATAATATTATAATTTGATGATAGTATAATAATTTTTTATCAAGTACAAAAGAAATAAAAAAACAAAAATTTATTACTATTTAGAAAATTATAAACTTTTAAAATTAAGAAAAAAATTCATTTATACAAAAAGTAAAAAAAGATATTTTATAATGTTAATAATAAAAAATTTATATAAAAGCTTATCTGAAGATTTTCTAAGATAATTTGACTTCTTTTTATAATATATAAAGATAATTCTATTATAATAAATTTTATTATATCAAATATCTTATTATAATAAAGATTTTTTAAAATTTATTTTTAATTATATTAAATTTATCCTATTAATCAAATTTTAATATAAAAATCTTGTTAATCATACTCAAAGATTTTTATTAGAATAATACTAACAAATTTATTCTATTTATCTAAAGTTTTTAATTTAATTAAATTATTCTTTTTGTTAATTAAAAAAAAATTTTTTGATTAATAAAAATATAATATTATAAATATATAATACTTTTATAATATTTATTAATATATATAAAAACCAATTATAAAAGTGATAATTCTACTTTTTTAAAGTAATTATAAAAGAATTAAAATATTTTATTAAAGTAAAAAGCTAAATTAGATATTAAAAAAAATAAAATATACTTAACTATTAGTCAAAAAATTAAGATATATTATATAAAAAAAATTTCAAATATAAAAAATAATTAATTGATTTTGTGATATAATATAAATAAATTAATAATATTCAATATCTTAAAGAAGAAATAATATTTTCTAATATTAAAATCCAATAATTATACTATATTTTTATATTATAAAAGATTATTAAAATTCTTAATATTAAACAAGTATTAGCTATTTGAATTGATCAAATCACAAGTGATAATTAAATATTATCTGAATATACTATTATTATAAAAACTATTATTTTTACTAAATATCTTGAAATTAAGAATTTTAAAGATTCATATAAATAGTTTGATTATTTTAAAAAATATTATAATATTTATAAATATATTTAATATAAAGAGATAAATTCAGCTTCTTTAGAAGTTTTTTATAATATTATCATAATTTTTATAATCTTTTATCTACATAAGATTTAGAAAATATTTTTAATTATAATTAAATAGCATATTATTAAAAATTAGAATTCTCAAAAATACTTGCTTATCATTTAATTTCTAAAACAAAAAAATTTAAAGATTATATTATAATCTTATTTACTTATAATATAATAAAAATTCAAAAGCTTATACTAGTTTTAGTTTATAAATATAAAAATTCAAGATATATATAGAATATTATAATTAGAAATTTTTAGTCATTAGCTTATTAAGCTAAATAAAGATATATAAAAGAAGTAATATTAAATTTTACTCTTATTAAACAATATTATTATATATATAGATAAAGATGGAATTATATATTTTAATATTATATTATATTATCTTTAAAAAATATAATAGCTTATTTAAAACTATATGATATAGAAATTATTTATTTATTTAAGATAAGTAATTCTGATATTAAATTTTATATTAATATGCTAATCATTTTTATTAGATAAAATATTGATAATTACTTTATGAAAATAGAATAAATATCTATAATATATTTATCAAGTTAAATATTCTAATATCTGATCTTATAATTTTAGATATAATTTACTTTACAAAAAAAGCCTGAAAATATGTTCAAGCAAATTTAATTATGTTATACTAGATAAAAATAGATATATTACTAACAAATCTAATCATGAATAACATTAATAATTTTTTTAACTTTTCATTAAATAACAAGTATGACTATAATATTATTCAAAATCTAATTGATCAGCTTGTACTAGATAATTTATTTTTAGCAAGTATATTATTATTAATTCTAGAATATAAAGTGCAAATATTTTGAATGATGATAAAATTCTTGTTTTAGTTCAAGACAAAGAAGCTATTGAGAAGAATGCAAACTTGAACAAGTTCAAAATAATAATTACTGAAGTCACTAAATTAATTGATAAATTAGTGTCATTTATTATACAAGAGAAAGATAACTTATATATTAGCATAAATTTTTTATATGACTTAAGCAATATAAAAAAGAATTTATGTAGGAAATTTATTAATTCAAAGTGCAAATAAAAATTAGTAGTTTTTAATAACAGATTAAGTGATTGTAATATCCTATGCATTTATTAATAAAGCAATATATTTTTTTCTGACTACATATGTACTTATTAGTATTTTACTCTAATACAGATATCCCATTATTTTGAAAATCTCATTATACTGAAGGAAAATACCAGAACGGACACCTTCATTATAACGGGATTGCCATTGTAATTTGTTTATTGAATTGAGAGGACATAATGTTTCAAAAAAATAAAACTTGATCTACATTATGAAAAGAAGCCATGAATAGAATCAAATAGAGAAATCAATGAATATTGTGTTCTCATGGCCCAAACTTCATAGAAATGTCTCCAAGTCATTAGAGAACAATATTCTAAAGTGTAAAAGCTTTCCAAGAATTGCAAAAAAGCTCAAGACTACTCAGAAGGAAATTTGATGTGTTGACTTTTGAGGAGGTTTTAGGCTGAATGTCTTGAGAAATAAAAGTGATGGCTTTTGAAGAGGTTTTAGGCTGAATGTCTTGAGAAATAAAAGTGATATTAGAGCCATATGAAGAGCTAATAATGTATTAGCTAACGGTAAAAAAGTATTTTTATATTCATAAGACAGAAATAAAATAAATCCGAAATTTTATTTTTTAAAAAATTGGGCGTTACTTTCTG